TATGTAAGATTTGGACAGTAATTGTTGGCTGTTGTGAAAATTGTTATTTTCACTTTTCCAAGAAATTACACATACTCACCTTCAAAAATGAAAAGTCCAATATGTGGACAGTAATTCCAATGCCAAACTGAATGGTCATTTTACTATAAGACAAAAAAAAGTAGTTCTGATTTTGTTATTTGTGACATAATATTTCCTCTCAAAATATCCAGAAACAAATCTAAAATTTCAAATAATAAGTGGTGATTTGGATTTCATAAGCAGGAACCATGACAAATCAATCTAATAACAACTGTTCATCAATAAAAACTAACAGGAAAAAATTCAAAAATGCAAAAGGCAATATGGCCAGCAGTCACTGAGATCTGAGATCTGCATTTTCATCCTCCTCTTGACAAATTCTGCCCTAAACAAAAGTACACAAAAGGCAGGGTAAAAGCAGAAAGAGAAAGGATAGTTAATATAAAATAGCTGCAGTGAGTGAGAGCAAAGGTTCATCTGTTTGGTTTTTGACAGTAAAGGAGGCTTAGGGATCCATTGTAAGAGAGCAAATATAGTTCTACTAGCATTCTTCTAGCATTTCCCCAGTTTCTGAGAACAACTCACTTAGGGATGCTAAGACTGTATACACAGTTCTTCATTTAACAGCCTTCTATGCAGCCTTCATCCAAATGGGTCTGATTTCCCTTTGATATTTTTGGCATGCAACAGAAAATAAGCTATAAAAATAAGTTCCAGAACATAGATACGCTCTCAGTGAAAGGTATTATCTTCTGTTTACTCAACAGGCTTTGGCTGGTGTTTTTATTGTCTATTCCTGGTCCTTGTTATGAGAACTAGACAATGATTATTTCATGAGCTGTATGGAGCAGGTGAACAAGAACTTAAAGACCTTCACCATATCTCTCCTTAGGAATCTCTTTTTGAAGACATTGGAGTCCAAGGCTGTTTAACTGAGCTTAGGCTGCTTTCTTGAGGAGTGTGAAATGCATGGGATCAACACCAGCTTGTTCTGGGAAAGGTAGTGTGGATTCCCCAGTGTGGATTCCCCAGTTACTTGTCTTTTCCAGCTTGGGATCCTGAAGCAATACTCAATGAATAAGTACACCATCTTCCACTCTTGTTTAAGAAGGCCTTTGAGAGTCATTTTCATACATAAGAAATAGCAGTTTTGTGCCTCTTGTCTATTGTGACCTCATTTTCTATGTACCTTTGTCAATATAGGAAAATTGCAATAATAATAAATACACTCTCCTCAGTCTTCCAAAAGGCTGCTTTTTCAGCCTGATCTCAGTATTCAACTACTTCAAGTTGATGCCTCAATGGTCTTTTTTCCAAAGAGATAATGTTTCTGTTTTGCTTTTCCTTTTCACATTGCCAGGTCTTCAATACCTGGAATGTAAAATTCCATGGACATGGTAAGATCAGTGCTTTCTGTAATTGCTTGTGATATGAGAAAAATCAGCATCAGCGTGTTCTTATTTTATTTTCTAAAATATTTCATTAGTGTTGTAGTCCATCCACGTGAGTTTTTCTAAACAAATTCATTAACTTTTACAAGTTAATTCTATCCCAAAGCCTTCAAAATGAAAGTAAAAGAAAACATGTAAGTTGGAGTTTGAGTGATTCATGTCTGGAATTCTCATCTGCTGGTGTAATCACAAGTGATCCTGCATTTTCCACTGACAAACAGACAGGATAGGAGAAAATTATTTTCCTTCTCCTCGTCCTCGTCCTCTTCCTCCTCTTCCTCCTCTTCCTCCTTCTCCTCCTCTTCCTCCTCTTCCTCCTTCTCCTTCTCCTTCTCCTTCTCCTTCTCCTTCTCCTTCTCCTTCTCCTTCTCCTTCTCCTTCTCCTTCTCCTTCTCCTTCTCCTTCTCCTTCTCCTTCTCCTTCTCCCTCTCCCTCTCCCTCTCCTCTCACATTATTAAAAGTTTACATGAAGACACATTAACATTGATTTTCATTCAGTTTTGCTGAGACATACACCAGTAATTAACATCTGTTCATCAACTCTGGCACATATCACATCACAGTGACAGTGCAAAAGCAAAATTAAAAAAAAATATAATTTTTGTATTTTAAAGTCAGCAGGAAAGGTATATTCTTGGTCTTTCTTTTTACCGTAAAACTATAGTATTTACATTTCTTTTTAATAAATTTTCAAGCATCTAAAAGACAGTTAAGGCCTTAAAAATATTACAAAACCTCACAGATTCTACATAATTAACATTCCATCATACCTGTGGAAAAAAAAAAAGCTTTAAAATAGTGTTTATATTACTGGAGAAAAGCATGTAGATATAAATGCATACAATATGCAAGAATGGGATCTTGCATATTTTAGCATTATGTTTGCCATCTTTTAGGTAATGGCCCTGTGGCATTTCAGTCTGACCTTCTTCTAACTTTCCAAGAATTGTAGTCCTACAGATGTCATCAGAGACTTCATAAGTGTGTCTTCCATCTTCCCCGGGGAAGTGGAAAGAAGCTATGGGATAATTTGCTAAAATGCCCAGTGAATGAGGGACACAGATATAAACTGAAGAGAGAAAACACCTTTTCTCAGGTTTTATTTTCCCTATTGTGGTAGTATTTAAATAGATAGGGAAAATAAAATTTGATTTTTTTCCTGTTCATGTGTTAATTATTATATAATTATATATTACAAATTATTACATAACTACAAATACAAATTAAATGCAAACATAATAAATATATGGAGTTTAATTGCATTCAATGATCTTAGAGGTCTTTTCCAACCTTAAGAAGTCTATGATTTTAGGGGGCAGAGCTACTTTAAGTTGTATGTGGAAAATACTCTCTCATTCTTCCCTAACTTTGGTCTTTAACTGAAGGGAAGAGACAAAAAATGTATATCTAGTTGTCACAAATATTATAGATAAGAGTCTAATAAATGGAAAAAAGCTCAGGGTAGCTGAAGCATTTTCTATCCATTTCAATCTTCAAACTTTAGACTCTTAAATAGTGAGTGATAGATTATCTTCCAGACATGATATGTCACTTTAAAATAGAAAATGCATTTTTCTAAAGCATAAGAAAATTAAATATTTAAACAAATGTTCATAAAAAAAACCCAAAAAACAAAAACATTAAAAAATTGTAAAAGAAAACAAAGAAAAAATAAAGCTTATCTGATATAGTAAGAAAATCTAAGAACAGTGTTGCAGATAGAATGAAACTGGAGTTTTCTATTTACAGGGTTCAGGGATCCTTAGGTGAAGTGTCTTCTTTGGGTGCTGTTTTTTAAGTAAGGGATCATGAAAAAACTAGAAAGACCTAAACAAGTTGCTCAGCTGGAGAGAGGCATGCAGGAACCACAATCAAGAGAAAATACCTAGAATATAGGTACAGTTATTTAGTTTTATATATATATATATATAGCTATACGGTTATATATATAGATATAGATAAAGCTCATATATCTGTAATGTGCATGTGAAACATAAATGATGGCTGTTGGATGACCATGCAACTCTGAACTGTGGGTTCCTATGGATAGAGGTTTTAGGGGACTCACAGTCCTGGGGACACAATAAATATGTTTTGATTTGAAAATAACTACCTAAAATATTAGAAATCAGTTTCTTCCTGATGAGAATGAATGCATGCATTTTGATTGCCTTTAAAATTTGACTTGCTGCCACAGGTTTGGTGTAGGCTCTTGGTCAGCTTTACCAAGTGAGTTTTCATCTGTCTGTCTTTATAAATATATATAAATATATATATGTACATACATATATAAATGTTAATCCCCTATTATTTATTAAATATGCTGTGAGAACACAAACTGACTAAACACTGGCTGCAAAAAACTAATGCACAAAAAAGCAGCATAATAACATGTGAAACCATTGATTTTTAATGATTATCAAATTGATGCTAGCTAACCTGGAGAGCATACAAGAAATTGCAAACAAGGATAGATGTGAGAGAGAAACATTACTCAGAGGAAAAATGGAAGGCCAAAGCTCAGCTGAAGTTAAAATTGCATAGTTACATGAGGAGTAACAAGAAGAAATTCTGTCAGTTTGCTCAAAGAAAAAGGTTCAGAGCAAAAAGTTCAGAGGAAATGTGGCACTGTTGTCAAAAGGGAGGAGACAGACCAGTGATGGATGACATAGATAGAGCTAAAGTACTTGATATCTTCCCCACCTCCCTACTTCAATCCCTGTAGGAAAAGCCTGAGACCAGATCACTGCATCAAGCCAGTCAAGCCTGGGAAGAAGAGCAGTCAAGAGTAGAATCATTTCAGGCTAGGGGCTACTTGAAGGATCCTGATGTACTAAAATCCCTGGACCTGGATGAGATTCATCTGAAACTGCTGAAGCACCCAGCTGAGGTGACTGTAGAGCTGCAACTTACCTGTGGCCAAAAAAATTGAGGCAATCTGGAAAAGTTCCTGACAAATGAAAAAAAAATGAAAATATTATGCCAAGCATTATATATGGTAAGAAGAACCATCTGGGAGTTACAGGCTATTCAGATTCATCTCAGTCCCTAGAAACAGATTCTTTGAGGATTTTTCTAAACAGTTGTGCTGGCTGTGGCTCAGAGCTTGTTTGGGTTTTTTTCAGAGTAGCTGGTCTGGGGCTGTGTTTCAGATTTGTGACCAAAACAGTGTTGATAACACAGGGGTGTTTTTGTTATGGCTGAGCAGCGTTTGCACAGCATCAAGGTATTTTCTTTGGCTCTCCCCACCCCACCAGTAAGGAAGCTGGGGGTACACAAGAAGCTGAGAGGAGACATGGTCAGGACAGCTGATTACAACTGACCAAGTGGACATCCCACACCATATGGTGTCATGTTCAGCAAATAAAGATGGGGGAGAGGTTAACAAGGGGCCCCCTGCTCAGGGACTGACTAGGCATTGGTCAGTTGGTGGTGAGCAACAATTTTCACTTGCATGACTTGTCTTTCTTGGGTTTTATTTTCTCTCTTTGTAATTTTTTTCTTTTCCTTACTATTACTGGTGTTGTTTTTATTGTTATTAAACTGTCTTCATCTCAACCCACAGGTTTTCTCATTTTTACTCTTCTTATTCTCTTCTCCATCCTGCACTGGGCAGAGTGAGTGAACAACTGCATGGTGCTTAGTTGCTGTCTGGGGTTAAACATTGAATGGCAAGTAAGTAACAAACGTTTACTAAGGTCTAATCATGCTTATTATCTCAATTGTCTTCAGCAATAAAATGACTAGCCATGTGAGTGAAGGCATAATAGTGGATGTAACACACCTTAATTTTGCTGAAGCTTTGGAAATCTCTCAGAGCACTCTCAGCTGTAAGTTAAAGAATGGGTTGTTCGAATGCACTTTTAGGTAGGCTTAATATTGGCTGGACTTCTGTGTCCAGAGGGTAGGAATCAGACATGTGAAGACCAGTGAACCTGGTAATGAGAACAAGACCTAGTGGGGTGACAATGGCTCCACAACTGTTTGGTATCCTTGTCAACAACCTCAATGATGAGACAAGAATTCTCAGTAAATCTATAGAAGATATTAAATTTGGTTCAGACAATAACTATTAAAGCTTCAATTGATCTTAAGATGCTGGACAACTGGGCCAAAAGGATGCCCATGCAGCTCATACATGAGAAGTTCAAAGTTGTTTCCAGAGCAGAATAATTCAATACTATGAAAAGCTATGAGATAACCAAGTGGCTGTGGAAGTGTAGTAAATCCATGGCTGAATCTAAGGCCCTAGTGTGTTCTCACATAGGAGGCAAACTACATACTGAGTTAAGTTAGGAGAATCCTAGAAAGGATCAAAGGAACTTATTATTCACTTCTACTGCATGCTCCCACATCTCAGCTATTGCATCCAGCTTTTGGTCCTCCTATTCAGGGCTGATGTGGAGGAGATGGAAAGGGTCTGACAGAAAGGACATCTCTCTTATGAAGCCAGGCTGAGAGAGCTGCAGTTGTTCTTCAATGTGTAGAAGAGAAGAGAACTTTGGGGAGATCTTACTGTGGCCCCCCAGTACCTTAAGAGGGCTTATAAGAAAGAAGGGAGAGGGAGGACTTTTCATATGGGCAGATAGTGACAGGCCAAGGGGTAATGGATTTAAACTGAGAGGCCAGGCTTAAATTAGATGTTAGGAAGAAATTCTTTCCCCAGAAGGTGGTGAGGCACTGGAACAAGTTGCCCAGAGAACTTGTAGATGCCCCATTCCTGGCAGTGCTTGAGGCCAGGTCAGATGGGTCCCTGAGCAACCTGGTCTAGAGGATGGCATCCCTGACCACAGCAGGGGGGTTGGAATTAGTTGACCATTAAGATCTTTTGCAACCCAAACCATTCTATGATTCATTCTATACCTGGACTTGCTGACTGGTAACAAACTATGGGTTGGGAGGTTCAAGCAAGGTATTATGGATACATTTTTCAGCACTGGAACGCTGGAAAATGGTAGTTTAGCACAGCACTGAGATTACACAGAGGAGTTGTGGATTCTCTTCTCATAAAGGATTTTAGGATATGATACTCCTGCTTTTAGTATAATTTAAAGATCCTTCCAATGATTCCCTTGTTCTGATTCTAATTTCCTGCTTCTTAATGCGCTCGTGTTTTATACTGTTTCCATGTTCTTCAGCATGAAGAAAATGTACTTTGATTTATATCTATGCAGGCAGTGTTGTAGTCTGGGATGTTGGAGGTCTACATTTATTTTGAAGAAAGAGGAAAAAGTGATGAAGAACTTAAAGCTGATTTGCTATTTATCTCAGTAAAGTGGTGTATATTACCGATAGAAAGACTGACATGAATTTGGCTAAGAAAATAGCTTTTTGTGTCTTTGCTTCCTTCAATTCAGGAATTTGGATCACCTTGGCACAACTATCTAGTAACCAAAAGAGCTATGGATGTTCTCATCAGTTAGATCTCAGTAAGTAGAAACTGTCAAACAGTAGACTGCAGAGAAGTGTTCTATATTATTACAAGAACACTTTGAGTTATAAATATCCATAAGCTTTAATGGAGAAGAGAACTGTGCCTGTCAGTAGAAAAAAAAATACTATCAACCTGCAATGCCCTACACAAATAATGTCAAACTTGGGGCACGATGCAGATTAAGGTGCACTTTAAGCCATCTGCTAAATGGAGTATTAGCTGGAAACTGGATTTCACCATCAATGAAACATAATTTAATATATCTGAAGGCCAGAACTGGTTCACCTATCTCAGCTGCAATTGCAGTGAAGAAAAAAGTCCTTCTGACTGTAAGAAAGTACTCTCTTTTCTATTACTGATCTCAACAGTGAGTTTTGATCCTGATTGTGTTCCATGGCAGCATCTTGAAAGGAAAATATTTTTAGCCTTGAACACAAGAATACTCCCTGCTTCTCTGAGTATAATACCACTGTATCTCAATGAGAAATGCTTTTGTAACTTGCTACCTTAGAGTAGAAAAGGATGTATTTAATTTGACATGAACATCTGATAGAAAATTTTAATCTGGGATTATCTACCCAGGTACCTAATCCAGTTTTATGATATTACAATCTAATCTAATCTAATCTAATCTAATCTAACCTAATCTAATCTAATCTAATCTAATCTAATCTAATCTAATCTAATCTAATCTAATTTCTACTATTATTTTGCCATTTGGCCTTTAGCAAGATACTGGCCTTATTTACCTATGTTAGGTTTACCCTACCTTAGTTCTGTATATAGGATAACAAGGACTCTTCACTTTTTATAACACCTTGAGATCTATAGAAACCAAAACCACAAAGCATTTTAACAGGGCAGAAAAGATAAAAGGGAATGTGAAGGCCAGTGATGAAGCACACAACTGAAGCAACTGAAGATCAAGTTTAGACCATATTTTGCATTGATACCAAAGAAAATAAACTAATTTTAAAATAGAGAAATTAAGGAAATAAAATGAATTAGATAATTTTAAAAAGAAAATTATGTGGGGAGAGAAAAAGGAGAATATCTGTCTTGTATAACCTTACAAAAAATCAAAGAAAAAAAATTGAGATTCCAAGAGAGCTTGGAAGAATGCTCAAATCAAGAGTACAGCTCAAGAAGACAGATAGATTGTCTATTGCCACTAGGCTTTTATTTTCTAGCCAACTAATGCACTGCCTTTTGGTTGCATCCTGAAGAAATTCCACACTTACGCAATTAAAACTGGTTCAATATTTGGAGAATACTGAACCAAATGCTTCAGATGGCATTCCAGATCTATGTCTACAGATTAACTTCCCAGTTGTCTCACCAAACTCTGATTATATTTTACATAACAAATAGAACAATACAAAATACATTTAGTAAGCATTCTATATTTAATGCATTTATTATACAAGTTAATAATATATAATATATGAAATCACATAGAAACAAATATATATATATACATATACATGGAGTATGTAGTTCTTCATACATAGAGTATGTACATGGAGTTAAATTAAATGAATGGCGTTATGTTAGTCCTAAATTAATATTACATAGATGAAGAAAAAGTATGTTGGAAAGTTTTTTACAGCATATCAGGATTAAAATGTATCAAAAGCAGCCTTTGAGATCTTTGTGTAACAGGCAAGGTGTGGCAGTTGAGATGGTGTCAGTTATGTAGGCTGTATGATAACATGGTTTTAATAGATAATGGTTATGGATATTAAAAGATCCTGGAGTATCTGGCTTTATGTGGCAAGGTTTTGGTAGCAGGGTGGCTACAGGGGTGACTTGTGGGAGAAACTGCCAGAAGCTTTTGCCATGTACAAAGAGCCAGTGCCAACTGTCTCCAAGAAGGACGCAGCACACTGGCCAAGGCTGAGCCCGTCAGCAGCAGTGGCAGCACCTCTGGGATAACACAAATAAGAACTGGGGGAAAACTGCTTCAGAACAGCAACCAGAGAGGGGATTGAGAACATATAAGAGAAATAATCCTGCAGACACCAAGGTCAGCGAAGAGATTCCCCAGCAGCCGGTGGTGCAGACCATGGTGAGGCAGCTGTGCCCCTGCAGCCCATGGAGATCCCTGGTGGAGCAGAGATCCACCTGCAGTCTGTGGAGGACCCCATGCGAAACCCACACTGGAGTAGGCTTCTGACAGGACCTGTGGCCCATGGAGAGAAAAAGCCCCTCTGCAGCAGGCTTGCCATCAGGATTTGTGACCCCATGGGGCACCTGTGCTGATGCAGTTTATTCCTGAAATACTGCACCCTGTGGAAGGGACACACACTGGAACAGTCTGTGAAGAACTACAACTCATGGGAAGGACTTACTCTGGAAGACTTTCTTGTAGCAGGGACCCCACACTGCAGGAGGGGAGAGTGCAAGGAGGAAGAAGCAGCACAGACTACCTGTAATGAACTAACCACAGCCCCCATTCACCATTCGTCTGCACTGCTTGGGGAAAGGAAGCACAGAAATCTGAGTGAAGTTGAGCCCAGAAAGGAGATGGATGGGAGGGGAAAGTGCATTTAGATTTGGTCTTATTCCTCCTTATCCTACTTCACTGTTAATTGTTGATAAACTAAATTAATTTGTCCAAGTCTGTTTTGTCCATTACAGTGATCTCCCAGCCTTACTTCATCCCATAAGTCTTTTATTTTCTACTCCCCAGTCCACAGTCCAGTTGAGAAACTTGGTGAGCCTTTGGTAGCTAGACAAGGTCACCACACCATAGATAACAAGGAGTTTTCTTATCTATTGTGAGTGAAAATAGGATGTGATTTTTGGGTTTGTTGTAAGTTATCCCATGAACTGTTTTTCTCCTTTGCATTCTGACCAATTCAGCTATAGACTTCCAATGCTCTTTCTTTACTCCAACACATCTTTCATCTTTCTAGGAATAAACATAGTATGCACAAGGGTAGATAACAGCAGAGACCATTATTAACACTTTCTCAGAGTTTTACATAAGAACACAGGAATCTTCTTGCTAAAACAGGTTGTCTAGGTCCACCATTCAGACTTTTAGAGCTAGCAAAAAGTTTCTCACAGGAAGATGTGTGATACAAACCATGGGAAAAATGCTTCATTAAATGGCTCATACCTATTCCCTAAGTCTGTGATTTCCTTAAGTCCTGAAATGTGAATTTTGATCTCTCTTTCAAAAATTCTGTTATTGTTAGTAAATATTCTGAGACTAGATTTTTCTTTACCTGCTAGGCATATAAATATCTACCTACCATCTAAAACTTGCTCAGTTTTAACCTTCAACAACATTCTGTGACATTGGTGAAAAATTAAAGGCTTGTTATAGAGTGAATGTTTTTAGGAGTATGAAATTTGCCCCCTTTTGAATTCATTGAATATTTCTGTTCTTGTGCTAGAAAACAAAAAAATACGGTCACAAAGGGCTTCATGGATATTGGGAGGTATTCCTGCATTTGGAGCTGACTTAGAGAAGAATGGTAGCTAAAAAAAAAAACAAAATAGTGTTACAGGCTTTTCTACAGTTATCTATTTTACCATTTAACTTCCAGTAACAAAGAGAAAAGGAGTACAAATTATACTGTACCACAACAGAATGATCAGTGACAAATGTCTGTCAGTAAGATTACCATTGCAGATAGAATATGTAAACATACGTTTTGAAACCAATTTTTCCTTATGCATTCTGTCTCATCATGAAGATGCCAACTGGATAGAGTTACTTTGCACATAAGATAGCATATTTAATAAAATGAGACTGAAGGAATGATAACATTTTATTATCTTGTTTTAGAATACTTTCTTCGGTCCATTTTTCTGTGGAAATAGATTAAGCACTGTTAATCAAGGTCTGTCACTGGGTTCCAGTGGTGACTTTGTACACTGCAAAACAAAAGGACAAATGTAGCACAAAATGAAGGCACATATGGAGTTGCTCTTACAGACTTCAAATATAGAGTAGATTTTTACAGACTTTTAAAACTTTTACAGTTTACAGAGAAACTCAATACCACACTATTTTGTCTCCAGTTATTTCTGAAAGCAAATAAAAATATAACTGTACACATGATGTTGCAAGTCCTTCAGCAAGAAAGGGCTCCCTACCACAAGAATCAGTACCATGGTATCATCCAGACGAGATTATATTCTCCTGTTTTCTAATATCTTTAATTCTTTGTACTTCTGTAGAACTAACTTATTCCATCATATCTGATCATCATAGCATGCCTCTTAGTTTGCATATTGCCATTGCAAAGCTGTACCAGCAAATTAAATAAACCCCACTGCAATAAGACAGTCATAAACTTGAGTCCAGAAGACTGCTAGTCTTTTACTTCAGAGGTTTAGCTTAATTACTATTTATTAACTAATTGCAAAACAATTACAATGCTGTAGATGTGGAACCTCACAAAGCTGTATCTATGAAAAGACTTTTAGAGAAAGCTGTCCTTTAGTAGTATATAGGTAACTTTGTTAATTTTCTAGATTTCCTCAGTGGACCAGGGAAAGAACTAAGATGGGACAAATCATTCTTTAGTGCCTAAGAAAGGAATTTAAGAAGAGGAATGTACTTCCCTCTGAAAGCATTGTTTTGTGTCTGCTAAGACAGGAGGTACTCTATACTAGAGAAGTGGCCAAACTTCTTTAAAAGTTAAAAAAAAGGTAAGTTTTGGGTTTTTTTTAATCTTAATCAAACCCTAGTTGAATAACTGTACAGACTTATTTTGAAGAATGTTAAACAGAATTCAGAAGTCCTTATGCACTGAATTATTCTCCAAATTGTTATTTTCTCCACGGTATTTTGATAATATATTTTTCCTACAATAAATAGTATGGCTGAAAAATATGGGACTTTCTGGTATGTCTCATCTAATCTATTTCTTTCAATATTTTCTTTGAATCTGATATTCCACTTTGTCTTAAACTACTTTTCTTATTTGAGTTAATAAAATGCTCTGAATCTTGACATCTCTGAATAGTTTAACTGAAGTTGGAACACTCCCATTTCTTCTGCAAAGTTCAGTTAGATGTGTATGGGCTGGCATCTTTAACACCACTCATTGTGTAACTAATTATGCTGGCCTTTATTGTGAATTTCCTGATTTTCTTCTGGTATGAATTCACTCATAATAATGCACAGAACTGCAAGTTCACTGCTGCTAATGGATGTCTGTGCTGTTCACAAAAACAGAATCAATAATACTTAAGTTCTGAATATTCTATAGTATGACGTGTTATAGTAAACATGTGATTTCAATTTGACAGGATTTATCACTTTTAAACCTAGGTGATTATTTTTCCTGATTAGCAAGTTGAAAATTCTTTTGTATTTAGACTTTTAAGAGTTGTCTTATTACTCTTTCTTTGGCGACAGTCTGTTTCACTGAAATGTATTAAAAGTTAAAATTAAATAAATCTGCATTAGCTAAAAAGGAGGTTATCTATGGACTAGCAAAGCTAGACAGAGAAAACCTTCTTTATGTTCTAGTACAAGGTGAAGAACCCCCTGTGCTTAACTGACCTGGAAAGAGCTTATGCAATTTTCTATGGACAGTTCTTTTTTTTTCTTTTTTTTTTTTCCTTAGAAAAGTCCCTATTTTTAAGAGGGCAAACGATTCCTATTGATTACAGTATTATCTAATGGTGAAGAAGCTTTCCCCCCTGTTGCTGACTTCAGCTTACAAGTCACTCGTGACTGCTACAGCTGAAACTGGAGGAAATGCATTTTACTGTCTGGAAAGTGGAAACTGGAGGAAATGGATTATGTCTGACTTGGGACCAGTAAACAAGTAGCAGTAAATCTTCATTTATGAAATGTCCTGTTTCCTAATACATCATTACTTGGCACAATCTATTCAGATTCCAGCTTTCAGATGCAATATGGTGGGTATCAGTACATGCTCTGTTCAGAGATGGGGCCAGGGGTTACAGAAAAGTGTGCTACCATAAACAAGCAACACATCTTAGCTGTACACAGACTTGCTGTGTGATTTACTGTCTTTAAGCTTGTCACTTACTGGTCTCTAAACACCAGTCAATAAGCTTAATGACTGGTAAAAAATGAGATGAAGCTGCTTAAAAAAAGGCAGGTCAAGCATGAACACAGCTGGATGAGTTTGAGTCATTGCCACCTATCCAAGTATTTGTTATCAGGTTACAGCTTCCTTGAGCACTATGGCAGGAATAAGCCAAAAAGAAATACATGAGGTCAAAGAGCTACTCGAGAGATGAATTTAGGGCACTCACTTCACCTTCCAGGTTTTAATGAAACTTACGTTTCATTTGAATATTTCACAACTATCTGAATGAAATGTAATTCCATTTGACACACATTTAGTACTATTAGTCTTTGAAGCAGACTTTAAATAATAGAATCACAGACACGAGAAAGACCTCAAGAGGACATCTCTTCTAAATCCCAGCTCTAAGGCAAACTGAACTATGCTTATATCCATCTGTCTGATGTTTGTTCTAAAAACCTCCAGAGATGGAGTCTTTACAATCTCCCATGCCATTATCTTCCTGGTTCTCTCTATCCTTAGCACTGGAATTTGCTTCCTAACACCTAACTTTGCTGTAAATTAAGTCCATTATTTTTCAGCCTCATCCACTGATGATACAGACAACAAATTGCTCCTTTCCTTTGTGTGTCAGCTTTTTATGTATTTGGAGTCAATTGTCACATCTTGCCTTTAATTATGTACTGAGAACCTTTAGGCTTCAAGAGAAACATAATTGACCAGCTTGTAAATGCAGTGAGTTTATTTAACAGAAACAAATGTGTGATCAAGAAAACGAGAATCTTACTTAAGTGGTTACCCTAACTGATTAGCTGCTTCACTGATTATCCTACCAGTCTGTCTTTAGAAGGTCCAGGATCATGAACACTGCTTTGTATTTCTCTTCTTTCTCCAATATTAATAAATTTGAATTCTTTATCCAATTTTTCTTTATTTATAAGGCCTACTGTTTGAGAAAGAGGCTGTGTTACCTGTGAAATATTCCTCTGTTTGGCAATATTTGTCACCATAGCTAAATATACAGCTATATATAAACCAGACTAATCTACCCACAGAATCTAAACAAAAACAAAAAAAAGAGTACTTACTCATTTCTCCCCTTACATCCTACCTTAAACTGACAGTCTCTACATTACTTTATCAATTAATTTTATTGCAAATCTGTTAAATAGCTGAGTCTCTTCTGCCTAAGTCAGGAGCTTATGATAGTTAGTCTAAGGTTTAAGCCTGTAATCCCCCTTCTTACTGGCTGCATGACCTTCTTTCAAGTTGGCACATTTCAGTATCTCATGTATTCATTTTCATAATAAAGTAGAAAGAGTTTCTCCTTGCTCTTTTCAGAAGTATTTTGAAGTCACTACAGCACATATTTGCTGTATTTAAGAGAATGCTTTTGTGGTTTTGTCCTTCTTTATCACTGCTTCACAAAAAATGAGGTGGGCAAAATATTTAGGACACTATTTTTACCTTGGATATCAAACTTTCTACCAACCCTGCCACACTCACAGTCTTCTCCCAAGGTAACAGTACTGACTAACCTGCCTTTGAACAGTCTTGAAAGGATCTTGTTGCTTGGACTTGCAAGACCAAGAGGACTTAGTGGTCTGGGCACCTTGTGTAGTGCCTGTTCTTCATCCTCCAATAATTTCTTACAAAATATTTAAATAGCATGCCAGGTGTCATATAAATACTTCAAACAAATGGATGATAGTACTATATTACCATAAGTTTAATAGTTTTGTGGTTATATACATAATTCTAAGAAAATTTTACTAGCAAATATACCTTAAAAAGTTGTTTTGAATTTTTAAAAACACTTTATTTTTAATGAAACATTCACAGGAAATTTTTCAGCCCATCAAGCTAAACTAGCAAGACTGGAAGCCCAACAAGGATTTAGTTTATTCCATTCAGCAAACATACTGCTAGCAATGACTGGTGTAGGTGTGGTACTAAAAAATATGTTAAAGCTGCATGAGAGCCTTGCATCAGAAAGGCCAGTGAGGGTGACATTGAGAAGAAAGTGTGCTACTGATCACCTGATCCTTGTGGTGAAGTTTCAAGTCTACTTGAAACATTCAAGGAAGTATTTGGATCCTATGATGCTGGTTCTTATAGGAACTTTAACATCTGTTGGAGGGACATTGTGGTGAGAAGAAAGCTATCCAGGAAGCTTCTGGATTGTATTTGAGGTAAATTAATGATGAAGACACAGGAAAGGCCAACAAGAATGGCATTCACTAGTTAGCAACAGTTCTTTGGGAATATGATAATCAATAGAAACTACGGCTGTAATGAGCACAAGATAGTGGAGTTCAAAATCCTGAGGAGGCAGAGGAAGGCAAGCACTGCAGTAGAGCCTGCACTTTAGGAGAGCAGACCAGCTTATCTGCAGAGTTGAAAGGTAGGTTTCATGGGAGGCAGCTCTGACAAGCAAATGAGTTCGGGGAATCTAGCAAGTCAGTAAGGACATCACCTTTCAAGCCTATGAATGTTCATGCTGATAGTCAGGAAATCAAGTACATTTATCAATAGACCAAATCAAAACAGAGATACACCAGAAAAGGCAGCATAAAGGAGGTGGAAGCAAGTAAAGGCTTCAGAAGAGGAATTTCTGAAACATTGCATTAGTATGTAGTGATGGTGTCAGGGAAACCAAACCTCAAATGGAATCAAGACTTGCCAGGGACATCAAGGCAGCAGGAAGAGCTTGTACATACTAATAAAAACTTGGAAAAGGAAAATGTATGTACTGATTGCTGAATGAAAAGGGTGATTCAGCAACAATGGCCACTGGTAAGGCTGAAGAGCTCAGGGTCTTGTTCTTTGAGGCCTGTGTACTTAATGAGAGAGAAGAGAGGGAATAGCAGCAGTGCATAAGGATCCAGTCAGAGACTACTTATGAGAACTCAACTCAACTCATGGGTCTCACAAGCTGTATCAAAACTTTATAAAGATTCCAAAAGGACAACCCAGAGAACCAAAGACTGCTCAGCCTTTAATCCCTGGCAAATACCCAGAGCAAGTACTCAAGGAATATATATATAATATAGACAATATTTTCAAGTTTTCAGATGAAACGCATATGGAGGCTACAGTTGAAAGACTTGAGGGGCAGGCTGCCATTTGGGGGAACCTATGGGATGAATGCACAACAGGTTCAGGGAACAAAAGCCCTTCAAGGAGAGATAGATGGAAACAGAATTTTCCAGTCTGAAGAAGAGACAGTTTTGAGGGGACCAGCAGCCTTCTAATACCTAGGAGGAGGTTATGAAAAGGATGTTGCAGGTTTTCCAGTGATGCATGTCAGGAGAACTAGGAACAATAGAGATGAATGAGAAAATGAACATTTCCAGCTGGGTATAACACATGAGGACACCCAAGAAGTGAAGTAGGTTATTATTTAGAGAGGGTACACTGACTCTACTTTGAGGTTTTCAAGACCAGGTTGTGTAAATCTCTATGAAACTCTGTTTACAGCAGGATTTTATCCTAAGTCTTTCCTGAGGTTTCTTCCAACCAGAAGTATCTTATGTCTCTATTAAAAAAAACCCAAAAAACCCAAGCTTTTACTACTGGAACAAGTGGAAATTCGTTTTGTGTACACCTTTTCATGTGAAAGAGTGCTTCACTGGTGCTGC